CAGGAGTGGGGCTGTGGGCGGGGCAGAACCACAGCTGGGCCTGTGGACGGGTGCGGCTCCGCTTCCAGCCCCGTCCCTGAGGTTGGGGATGGGGCTGGGGTCATAGCGGAGCTGGGGGTAGTGGGGGCTGGGAGGCATTCCCTTTCTGCCCCTCCATGTGGGCTGACCCAGGCTTGTTATCCTCCCCGCTCCCCCCCAGCATTCCTCCAGTTTGGGAACTTCTGATCTAGGCAAGTTCATTGATGCTCTTTCTTGTTTTCTATCTGAAGTACGCAAAACAACATATGTGGACTAGCCTAAAGCAAGTCAGGGAAATATCATTAAAAAAACTGTTCTCCAGAGTTATTAATATTAAGTTGGTTTACCTGATGCACTGTCATTAATTGCACAGTGCAAAATATTTCCAGTTATTGAACATGGAAAGATCACTGTTGAGGCTGACCCTAATGGGATAATTCTGAAAGTTATGATGAAATGCCCATCGTTCAGCGGGCCACTGAGAGAAGGGTTCTGAGCCATAGTCACTTATCTGTAGGTTGCTTCTGATATCAGAACTGCAGCTGCTAGCCTTTGGATGCACAAAAAATTCTCTTGGAAATTGGTTGCAGGATGTCAGCTGCCCACAACCACATCCTTACAGGAAGGCCCACAGCTGTCTGGTATAGCTCCAAAGGTGGGTATGCCTGGCTCTGGAGGAAAGTTGGGGACAGGACATCTAGGAAATGTGCTAATTTAGTGTATCTCCAAATATCCTAGGCAGGAGCATAAAAACACTTCCTGTTCCAGTCTCTAACTAGAAGCCTAGGGGAGGATGAGTGGGATCTCTGCCTGCCCTCCCTTTGTTGGTGAGTTTCCTCCACAGCTGCACCTGTGGGCGAATTGCCTGAAGGAGCAAGTCAAATCCTCAGTCTCCATAGTATGCCACTTCTGTCAGGAAGTAGCCTCAAGAGCTTGCACAAAATTCAGCAGTCTGGCTTGCAGAAGTTCATGCAAACATTTTTCTTTGGTCTGTCTGTGAGTTTGCATCATTGCCTCCAAGTTTTTATTTGCGTTTTTGCATTCAGAATTCCAACTGAAGCTTAGTTGTAATCTCTTTCACCTGATTTTGTGGTATAGCTGTGCAAAACCATGCACTCATTTCATAGCTTCAATCCCACATTTAATTTTGAGTTTTCAGTTCTCTGGCCAAATGTAGTCTTAGTTTCACATCACTAGGCTTGGAAGGATTAGATTTTTCTTGGTAAATGTCAGTAAAAGTCAGTTTCACCACACATACACAAACCAATGATAAAATATTTCCATTGATGATGATTGAGATTTACAAATAGGCAAATATTAAGAGAAATGCTGCTTGAGAAGTTTAGTTTCATTTAGTGATTTTTTTTCTTTGTATATCTGGATATGAATTGGTGTTGACAATTTGTGTTTTAAAGGTTATAAAGCTTTACATTTTTGAATCTCAACATTTGCTGTAATTAAATAATTGTCTGACACCCCATAATTTCCTGCAACTAAAAACTGAAAAAAAGCTAAAAAAATCATTATTATCCATAGAAATTAGAAAAACTCCAAATTTTGCTAAGCCTACACGTAACAAATTTCAGAACAGTTCTATTAGTTAGAAACACTTTGCACAGGATAAGAGGAGCTAAACCACTTGCAGTATGCCGAAAATCCAGTTTGCAGGGTGCTGATTTGGTCATTGATCTGACTGGTCATCAGAGTTCAGACATAGTCAGAATAATCCACCAGGTGACAGCATAGCTAACTGGAACCAATCTTAAAGCAGAAGTCATAACTTAACCTTTTTATTAACCAGATAAACTACACTTCAGTTGCCAGTAGCCCTGAACAATCACAATTTAGTGTTTTGCTTATGGAGAGAGGGAAAAGACCAAAAGAGCTGAATCTGCACCGCATAAAGTACCTGCTGTTGTATCTTCGAGAGAGAACTCAGGTGTATCAGAAGTGTAACGTGAATCAGATTTACTTCTGTTGCTGTGTTCTTGCTGCACCACTTTTCAAACGTGTCAACTTTTTATTTTGGAAACTAGTGAAGTTATGAACTTCTGGCTTTTTGGTCAGAAACGTGACTTAAGGCAAGCATTATGAATTGTTTTGTTAACTGATGCAGATTGATTAATGGTTAACTGGTGAATATAGGATAGTTCCTGGAGCAAGAGATGGATCACAAAGGGGTATTATCAAACAATTACAATCCATACTCGATGGGGACCCAATCCGGAAAGAAATCTTTCCTGAACCTCCTCTCCTGACCTTGAAACAATCCCCCAACCTCGCCAAATTTATCAGAAGCAAGCTCCCCACAGATTAGGACACACCAACTCAAAGCAGCACTAAACCCTGCAAGAACAACAGGTGCAAAACCTGAAGACATATGTCTACTACCACAATGATCAACACCCTCCACAATACACCTTTCAAGATCCGTGGGTCCTACACGTGCCTATCACCACATGTGTACCTAATCCAGTGCACTAAATGTTTAAAGAGCAACTATGTGGGTGAAACCAGACAATCAATATGCTTTCAAATGAACTCACAGAAAAATGATAAACGACAAAACCACCACATCACCATGGTGAACACTTTTCACAAAGTGATTGCTCTATATCAGTCCTCATCCTTAAAGGAAACCTGCTCAACACTTTCAAAAAATGAGTCTGGGAATTTAAATTCATAACTTGGCTAGACCCTAAAAATAATGGACTGAATAGTCTCACAGGATTTATGACTTATTACAACAATCTATAACTCACTAATAATGCCCTCGCAGTTGCTTCCTCCCCTCTCCTTCCTTTTCTCCATGTGACTGGAGGAGTGTTAATGGGCCACTTCACCTTGAATGGTCCCTTGAAATATATGGCAGCTACTTATGCTAAACAATCTGTTCCACCTTGTATTCAGCTGTGACACTCCTGGTACATCTATACTTCAATTAGACATCTGCAACTGGCCCATGCCAGCTGACTTGGGCTCACCGGGCTCTGGCTAAGGAGCTGTTTAATTGTGGTGTAGACACTTAAGCTGGAATGTGGGCTATAAGACCTCCTACTTTTCAGGGTCCTAGAGCCTGGGCTCCAGCCCAAGCCAGAATGTCTACATGGCAGTTAAACACCCCCTTAGCCCAAGCACCAAGAGCCAAAGTCAGCTGGCATGTGTTAGCTGTAGGTTTTTATTTGCAGTGGAGACATACCGTACACTCTGAGTAAATTTCCCATACCTGAGAAGAGCTCTGTGTAAGCTTGAAAGTTTCTCTCTCATTCTCTCTCTGACAGAAGTTGGGCCAATAAAAGATATTACCTCACCCACCTTATCTCTTGAATATCCTAGGACCGACACAGCTACTACATCATTGAATACAATGAGAGGTCTACAGTTACAGGCACCTAGATCCCACAGTGGTGAACCTGGTATAAATTCCTAGTAACCCATTTCTCCTATGAAGGGTCTGTAACTACTCATAGGATGAGTTTCTCTGTCTGTTACGTTTTTATTAATATTTCCTGTCATGATTTTACTGTTTCTTTGTGCATCCTTTCTGATAAAGCAGTATCCACCTTTCCCTTCTGAACTGGATTAGGTCAGATAATTTAAATTTCATCCCAACATGATTTCTTTGCCCTTTTTTGTTCTCCCATCTCTAATAGTTTTTTTCATTCTAGATTTAAGCTGATAGTCAGTTTAACACTTGCTGCCTTTAAGAGTACTATCTGGAGAAGCAGTTTAGCATTTGTCTGTCTTTGTAGGACAGACTTGTTTCACAAACCTCAGTTGGTGACTAATGCAGGTTAAAGCTCAGCTCTAAGCAAGACAGATTTCTTGTGCTAATATTACATTTCATAGACACAAGTAGATCAATTTCAAAAACTATTTTATGGGTTAAGGAGCAAAGTGGGCTTTATATGAGTCAATTTACACTTAATAGCATATTTCTTTCAATATTCATTTGGATAACTGTACTGTGTCTGCTATGATTTAGCTAGGTGTTTGTTTAATACATATTCACAAAAATAAATAGTAACAACCCCGGAATGTCTGAAGGGATAGTGTGCCTTGAAGTTTATGGATCTTCAAACTCACTTTCATGTTTTTAATACACATTGCCAGTTGATTTAAGGGGCTATTATAATATGTAGGTACATATGAAGAACAGTATTGCACTAACTGACAAAGTACATTAATCAGTTAATTTTAAATATCACTTTACATTTTTATTTTCACAGGCAAACAGATACAAAACACAATAAGTAACATTTATAGAATGTTGGAGTAATACATTTTATAAGCAAAAGTGTTTTTTAACATTTATGCTCTACAAATAATGCTTAACTTTCAAAATTGACTTCCATTTTTGGAAGAGCAGCAGGAACTCAGATTTTGTTTCCCCAATTCTGGGTTAATTTGGTTGCTCATGAAGATGATGAGGATAACCAACGAGCAGGATCAAGCTTTGTGTGCAGAGATCTCATATAAGCTCTGCCAGTGAAATTTAATCCGGATTTACAGCATTCTGCTAAATTGATCATGGGCCTTTCTGGTGCATGGGACCAGTGATCCTGATCAACTTTTTCAGATTCGCTGGAGGCTTTATGATGCTGACTGATACCTGCTGAGGAGTAGAAAGACATCAGACTTCTTCACCCGCAACAGTTTCATGCGTTAAAGTTGGATTTTTGGAAATGAGTTGATGCACTAACCCTTTAAACATTTGGCCCTAACATTTGAATTTATTTGGAGTTTAATTGTCATTTATTGAAAAATGTAGCAAATTGATATAGTCGACAAAGTAAACTGAGTTGCATTTATTAATTGAGCTCTAAAGCACATGGAGAAATCTCAAGAGTAAAACACAATTTTAAGTATAGCACTTATTTGCTGTTTGATCAGAATTTAGTTTCAGTTTTGAGTAGCTGATAAATGCACAATATAATCCAGACTTTTCATTAACCTAATTAAATGAAACTTCTTTTTTTCAGATTTGTTTTCTCCTATTTGCTGTTCTCTATATAGTTTCCTATTTCGTAATCACAAGATACAAAAGGAAAGCAGGTAAGTAGTTTTTAAATTTTGATTTTGATTTAAAAAATGAGTAGGGTATAACTTTTTTCCCCAAAGAGAATTGCTGTAGAATAGTGGTGCCCGTTCTTGTCACCTCACTGACTAACTATATTTTAAATGTCACTTGACCAAATTTGGGAGGGGAGAGAAGGGACATTTCAAAGCTGCCACCTACTCCCTTCTCCTCCTGCCTTCAGCTCCCTTATTCTTTCTTCTCACCTGAGTTCTTATGATTCTGAATTGGAAACCTATAGGCAGCCTCCAGCTTGGGTCCCTAATACCAAACTTTGAACTTTAAGATGCTTAGATTGATCTACAGATTATGAATAAAAATCCCCAGTTATCACTTTAAGGCTAGATAGGTTCTTTTCCCAAGATCAGGCCCCATATTATTACAATTATTATATAGTTGGGAACCCTGATATGCACAGGTGCAACAGCCAAACTATAGGAACTCTTCTATATTTGCAAATAAAAAATGTATTAATACATTTAGCAAAGTCACACACATTCTAACTCCGTAAAGTAGATAGAGATAATACAAAAGTACATCTGAACATCCATACTCACACCATCCCTTGCAGAACAATCTGAAATGTTAGCCATTATCTTCCTCAGCACTGTCACCTTCCTCATCTTCACCAGTTGCCATCGTTCTGGCCCCTTCCAGGGCTACATCTCTCCCTCTCCTACGCTCACGTTACCATGTCTAATGCATATTCAGTAGGGCTTTCTCCCCTCTTCGTTGTTTGTATTTCCTCCCCTTACCAATGTTAAGGTGTCCTCCTTCTGTAGATTAGTATATTTATGATTTCACCTCATTATCATATACGTCAGTTCATTGCCATGGCACTCTTGCGGTCAGATGTTCTGTCCAAAACCTTCCAGAAGCTGGTGTGTGTTCATGTTTCTATGGTTGGCTGATGTCATTATGGACAGAATTCCCCCTTACATTCTACTTCCAGTTCCCCAAAACTTGTGGCTTACCTAAGTTTATGTATGCCAAAGTTTGTAGGCCTCAAGCCTCATGCTAACTGCTGAGGCCAGTGTCTTACAGGATACAAGTCTGTAGGTTCCGTGCATTACTGCTAAATATAATAAAGCAGAATTTAATGCAAAGCAGTGAATATAATAGAAGTAAGCTGGCCCACTGGGCTACACACCTTACCTGCTGGGTTTGTAGAGGGAAGTAGTGGCTTTCTTTTAAAAGAAGTCTTGATTTTAGTGGCCCCAGTGCTCAGAAGCAGATCTATTTCAGCATTCTTCCTAAACCTGTTTCCTACAAAACCACCCTCCTTGTCCCCAGTCCTTGAAGGAAATAATAGATCATAGATTCTAAGGTGAAAAGGGACCTTTGTGATCATCTAGTCTAATGTCCTGTATAGCACAGGCATAGAACTTTCTCAAATTAATTTCTAGAGCAGTGGTTCTCAACCTTTACAGACTACTGTACCCCTTTCAGAAGTCTGATTCATCTTGCATACCCCCAAGTTTCACCTCACTTAAAAACTACTTCCGTACAAAATCACACCAAAAACTACAAATGTGTCACAGCACACTATTACTGAAAAATTGCTTACTTTCTCATTTTGTCTGTATGAAATTATAGTTTGTACTGATTTTGTTAGTGCTTTTTATGTAGACTGTTGTAAAACTAGACAAAGATCTGGAGAAGTTGATTTACCCCCTGGAAGATCTCTGCTTACCGACAGGGGTTATGTTTATCCCTGGTTGAGAACCACTGTCCTAGAGCATATCCTTTAGAAAAACATCCAATCTTGATTTAAAAATCATCGGTGAGAAAACTGTATTCCTCAGGATGATGCCAGCTACATGCACGCTTCTCTTAACAGTTCAGGTAGCCAGTGCGAAAGGGCAAACATGGCTAATTGCTTAACGCTGCTCCACAGCCCTGAATTTTCTTGTTAGGTTTCATTCAGAAGAAGGGTTTACTAGTCTGTGACTGCAACACTTTGCATCATGGATACTAAGCCTAGCCAAAGGGCAGCTTGAGTATTGGAAGACGGCTTCCACTCTGGCTGAATGTCTTCACTAGGATTCCTGTAGATCTTTCATTTTCAAGTCTTTCCAGTGTAGTAATTTCTTTCCTTTACTGTTTTTACAAGCTACTGTATATCTCTCAAAATGGGTGTTGTGAAAGCACAAAAAGGCTTACAGATGGGCTTGCCTTCCTTTTCTGCCTAATTTAATCAGCCAGAGACCACTATCTAGTGCTCCTCTGAGTTGATTGTGTTTGCGTACTTCTTATACCAGCTTTAAGGACAGTAACAACATACTGACTGGATGACTATTCCATGTGCTGCAAAAACATAAAATAGATCCCTACAACTTCCAGCAAATTTTTCCTTCCTGTGCCCTTTACAAAAATCCTTTCATTTAAGAGATGCCCCGTAGGAAACAGTTTGCAGACAGTTGTTTTATGTCAGAGTTTTGGTTGAAATTGAAGAATATGCTATGTAGTTCTAAATATGTAATTGTTAATTTACATGCAGGTAGAAGTCAACTTTAGCATCTTTGTCATTACACAAAGGACTCTTTAACTCAAAACACTTTCCTGCAACAATCAAAAGAACCTACCAAATGTCCACAAGCTGAATTATTTTTATATTAATTCCATAGGAAGATATACATTTATAGAAAATTAAAGTTGCCTGGATAAGCAATCAAAATTGGAAACTCCAAAGTCATGATTGTACAGTTGTACCAATGAGCAGTTTGATAGTTGTAATAGTTTCATCTCAGACAAAAGAACTCAAATTTTTTTCCTTTATTAACTTGCTTGCCACTTCTACCACAAGCTGTTGAGGATTGGGCCATGGCTTTCTTTTAAGCATAAATAACTGTCTGTATTTAATTTTGGGAGACAAGGTCCTAATGTAATGATTGCCCTGTCAAGAGCACAGAGGCTATACGCGCTACTTGCATGGAATTCTTTTGTCGGAGTGTGAAGCAAGCCTGTTACTGGACACATCCAAATTTGGAAATGTATTCAGGTCTGCTGTGGACAGGTTTTGTGCATTCTTTTGCCTGGAAAATAATTCACAATGCAGGATGGGCAACATGGAGAACTTGAAGGGGATAGAAAAAAAAACTGACTTGAAAGTGGAATTTCATTTCTGGAGGCCACATCATAAAAAGCGGGCTGTGGTTGTCCATAAGGTTATGAAGGAGAACAAGAAAGAAGTAAAGATTCCAAGCTGAGTGGTAGCCCATCATAAATAGGAGGAATACCTAAGGGATAAGAGAAGGAAAATTCTCTAAAATGCCAGAAGAGAAACCCAGAGGCTCATGGAGGAATTAAGACTAGGTGAGAGGTGCTGGTATCACTTCTGGTAGTCAAAGACAGGTTATTACTATTGTTCTGATGTATTTTTCTTTGTTGTACATGTGTGTGCTGTTTTTCACTGCATATAAAATTCACAACTGTTTTTCCAAGACTGGGTGTTTCTTGTGTATTTTTAGCCTGTATTCTTACGATGTATTCAAACCCATTTTCCCCTCAACTTGTTTGAAGGCTGTTTGTAATTTTAAGGAAGAGTAGTGATGTAGAAAGGAATTTCCTGTCATGACTATCCTCCAAACGCACTAATTTAATCTTACAAGCCATCAAAGAGGTAACCCTTAGGTCTTGTCTACACCATGCAACTTTTAGCGACAAGTCAGCATGTGTAAACCCTATTTGTCGGTACTTCGTTGGCACTTTTGCTGACAAAATACTTCCAGACACGCGAGCGGCATTGGCTTTGTCAGCAGGAGAGTGCTCCTGCCGACAAAGCCGCATTGACACTGCCACTTGCATCGGCAAAACTTTTGTCTTTCGTGGGGGGGCTTTACGTACCTATGAAAGACAAAAGTTTTGTCGACAACTTCGCAGTGTAGACATATCTTTAGTCCTGAGCAATGCTCTTTAATTGTCTTGATTGAAGAGATTAAGAAACCAGTGAAGGGAGTGTAAAAGTGGAGGGAAAGCAGCACTAATTTTTATTAAGAAAAATATTCTTTCAGGAAAACTAATGGAAATGGGTAACATTAATTTACAAAATGTATGTCTAATACAGAATACAAAAATAATGGATTTGGATTTAGTAATGCAAAATTTTTGATCTGACCTATAGTTTTTCTGTTTTAGTAACTTATTTTCATCTTTCTTTTAGTTTCTACAGCTACCTATATATAAATCTGCTATAAATTATTTTTCAGATGAGCAGGAGGATGAAGATGCCATTGTCAACAGAATTTCGTATGTACATTTCTTAGTTCCTTGATATAATTAAATTTGCAATAATGTAAAATGTAAACAGGCAAAATTGTCTGCATAGTGTTTACTGCACATGGGCAGAAAAACATTACAGCTTTTCTTTAAGCAGTTATTTTAGAGCATTGCCTTATGGGTGGGGGGAACCCTGCTTCTGGGAGCACCCATTTAGTTATTCACCTGTAGTTTAGAACATAGGTTGTAATGGATGCATGCAGAATGGCAGACTGAGGCAGGTTATGAACACAACTTTTTTATTCCCCATTCACATAAACTCTTTATTCACTTTCCTTATTAGTTTTAGGTCATGTCTACACTACAGAGTTAAGTCAACGTAAGTTATGTTGACTTTCATAAGTCACTAATAAGATTGGTTGCGCACGTCCACACAATGCTCCTTGTGTTGGCTGAGCACATCCACAGTCATTGCTCTTGCATTGACAGAGAGAGCGTTGCATTGTGGGTAGCTATCCCACTGTGCAACTCGCCAACCTCTGTACCCTTCTGCTGCTGGGAGTTCTGGAAACAGGTTTCAGTGCATCATTGGGACATGATGTAGTTCTTTCCGTCCCATCATTCCATGGGCTTATTACTTCCTACTTTCAACAGCCCTTGTAAACTCTGCACCCGCCATCTCTGCCGGACAGCATGGATCCTGAGCTGCTGACCATTCTGGTGATGAGCATTATGAACACTACATGGCTGGACCTGCAGTATTTCATGAGCTGTGAAACAGAATGAATCGGGACATGCCTGCCTTGCTTTCTGCCAGGGAACAATAATTGAAGATTGCTGCTGGCATTCACTGAACAGCTTGCCACGGTGGTACTGGGCTTGGGAAACAAGCACTGTGTGCTGGGATTGCATAGTGATGTACGTATGGGATGATGAGCAGTGGCTGCAGAACTTTTGGATGCGCAGAGTCACCTTTCTGGAACAATATGCAGAGCTTGCTCCAGCTCTCTGGCACAAGAACACCAAAATGAAAGCTGCCCCCATCATGGAAAAGTGAGTGGCAATCACTATGTGGAAGCTGGCAACTCCAGACTGCTATTGGTCAGTCATGAATCAGTTTGGAGTTCGAAAGTCCCCCGTGGGGGTGTGTGGTGATGCAAGTGTGCAGAGCCAATAATCACCTCCTGCTACAAAGGACTGTGACTCTTGATAATGTACAGGAAATAACTGATGGCTTTGAGACAATGGGATTCCCTAACTGTGGTAAGGTGATAAATGGAACACATCTCAATTTTGGTCCCCGACCATCTTGTGACGGTGTACATCAACCAAAAGGGCTACTTCTCCATGGTCTTACATGCGCTGGTGGAGCACTGGAGATGTTTTACTGACATAAATGTGGGGTGGGTTGGGGAAGGTGCAAGATCTTTTGGAACACTGGACTATATAGAAAGCTGAATGCTGGGACTTTCTTTCCAGAACAGAAGATTCCAATGGGGGAAGTGAAAATATGCCCATAGTGATCCTGGGAGATCCCGCCAATCCCTTGCTCCCATGACTCATGGAGGCTTACACCAGGAAGCTAGACAGCAGCAAGGAGAGCTTCAACAACAGGCTCAGCAGGTGCCAAATGACCTTTGAATGTGCCTGTGGCTGATTAAATGGTCGCTAGAGATGTCTTTTTGGCTGGATAGACCTCAATGAGGAAAATATTCTGATGGTCATTGCAGTCTGCTGTACGCTACCTAATAGTTGCGAATCAAAGGGGGATAAGTTTCCCCAGGGGTAGACTGCTAAGGCTGATGTATCTGGTTGCTCAAAATCAGCAGCCAGCCTAAGGGCAATTAGAGGGGCACAGCAGAAGGCTGTTTGAATTAAGGAGCCTTTAAAGGTGCATTTTGATGATGATTCCCAGTAATGTGTCTTTGTGTGTTGCATTTGGCCAGGCAATGCTTACTTGCCACGTGGAATTACTCCTGCAGTGTTTTGCTTCCTGAGCGTTAATTGCAAGGAGCAAATATTCCTACCTATAGCCATTGTGTTTGATGGTTAGCACTGACTGATGTCTGTATGCATGTCACAAATAAAGACTCATTTTATTTCAAAGACTCAAGTTTAATAACAGGATAAACTACAAACTTTTGGTCAAACAGGGGACATGCGAAGAGGAACAGTTTCATGGTGAGGGCCCGCACAGCTGGATGTAAGTACAGCTTTTGTTGGAAAACCAGTCCCTAGGTGTGGAGTGCATGTGGTACTGTGAGGGACCAGGAACATGCAAGGAATGTGGTGGGAGAGTTTGGGGAGGGCATGGACTGGAGTTCTGTAGTGGCTGGAGTGGGAGTTGGGCATGGATGTGCTCAGATTGCAGGCTAATGAGGACCTTCAACATTTCTTTCTGGCCCTCCAGGAGCTTTATCATCCGCTCCTGCCCCTGTGTCCTTTCCTGGCTATCCAGCCTGAGTCTTTCGTTGATTGTCTCCCTCCATGCTCTTGTTTCTTCATATGCTGCATCTGTTGACTGCAGCACTTCACAAAACATATCCTCCTTACTTCACCTGGATTGGCGCCTTACCTGACAGAGGTGCTCCACCGGTATAGAGGAGTGGTTCCTGAAGAGCACATCTGCAGAAGCCAAAGAAACAATGAACAGAGACAGTATTGTGAGTGCGTTCACAGCCGTGAATCACAAAAGTTACACACACCTCTTTCTCACTATCCTTTGTCTAGCACACAGGCCAGCACAAGTCCCAGATACGATGAGTTTAGGGGGAGAGTTGGGTGGGCAAGGGAAATGGGCAAGAAGGGACAAAGGGTGGTTTGCAAAGGGGGTTACTGTAAGTGGCTAGGGAGCCTATTCTGAATATTGGTACCCTTTTCCACAGTCTAGGCTATTGAACCAGATATCTCACCCCTAAGGGTAACCCAAGATGCAGGGGTGTATCTCCTGCATGTGTGTGGCTTCAGTCTGGCTCGGTATGCTGCTTGCCTGTGTGCTGCTCTGGTTCCTGCAGAAATAATTGCCAGGTGGCTCAGAAAAGTTTCCTACAGCTGGGGAGAAACAAGGCAGTTCTCCCAAGGAACTTTAGGCAGAGGATTGCAGAATACCTAACAGAAAAGTTTCGTAGAGATCACTGTGGAGGATTCCAGGTACTTCTCTGTGTACGTTAATAAACTTTTCTGCCGTGGCCCCACTGTGTAGATAGACAGGCTCTGTTGCTAATTTCAGGCCCTTATCCCTCCTGTACCATATAACAAAATACATCAGAGCTCAATCTCTCACTGTGCAGTATCAAAGCAAAATGAGCACTTACCAGAGCTCCCCTCTCCTGCATCCTGCGCACCAGAGTTGGAGTGCTAGGACTGACCAGACTCCTTCGGAGTGGAAAAGAGGTCCTGATTTGCCGCACCCCTGGATGACTCTGCCATGTGCTCCACATCATCCTCCAGCTTCACTTTCTCTTCCACTACTTCCTTGTCTGGGTTGAGTCCACTAGATGCTGCCATCAGTCCCCCGAACTATCCATGGGGCTCTTGGTGGTGGAGGTGGGGTTGCCACCGAGGATGGCATGCAGCTGCTTCTAGAAGCAGCGTGTCTTTGGTGCCGCACCTGAATGACGGTTGGCCTCCCTTGCCTTCTGGTACACCTGCCTCAGTTCCTTGATTTTAGCACAACCGTTCTGCGTGTCCCTCTCTTGCCCCTTTTCATGCATGCTTCTAGCAATCAGCCTGTAGTTATTGAAATTCTTATAGTTGGTGCAAAGCTGCAACTGCACAGCCTCCTCTCTGCATATACTCAGCAGATCCAACAGCTCTGGTGTGCTCCACAGGGGAGAGTGTCTGCTGCAGAAAGCCGGCATCATCAGCTAGGAAGATGCTGTGTAAACTGTGCAAGCCAAGCAAACAGGAAGAGGAATTTCAAAACTTCCCAGGCCTTTGAACGGGGGAGGAGTGCCGACCTGTGAACCTTCTGGGCAACAGAGTTCAAACTGCGGTTGTGAAGGGCATTATGGGACACCTGGAGGCAAATTAGGGTGATGTAATCAAGTGAGGTGTCTACACTGACACTGCGTTGCTCTAACTACGTTGCAAAAAGCTCTCTGCCACTCGACGAGGTGATTTTATTATGTCAGCATAGCTGGGGAGTTACATCGGCAGGAGGAGCATTTCAATGTGTACACCTCCACTGTATTGTCAACGAAAGCTGGCTTTTGTCTACAAAACTGAGTAGTTTAGACAAGGCCTTAGTTAACTCTGACTCTCACCTAACTGAAGTCCAACTGTCCTCATTATTTTCCCTCTCTTTATTCACTATTCCCCTGCTGATTTATTCGTTTTCTTTCTTCCTCTGTCCAGATCCCTCTCTCCCCTCTTATTTACTTTATCCCTTCCTTCCCATTCTTAATATTGTCAACCCCACTCATTCAAAAATCATGTGATTAGCTTAGATACCATGAGATTTTTAAAAAATAGCAAATTGAGGATTCTCTTTGTTTGCCTTCTGGTGTTTAAGTCTTTTAGCATTTCATGTTTTCATGCACTTCTCTACAGCTGTGAGGGCTATAAACTATGTATAAATGAAAGCTGAGATTCCCACATAACAAGACTCCAAGAGCTGCAGCTTTAGGAAAAAACATCTACTACTGTGGTACTTGCAGTAAAATCACAAGAGTTAGCAGCACTCCATTCTCTCTTGCCCTCTCCTATGCTCATTCACACACTGTTTCCCTCCCACTTACATATGAATACCACAAGGACTGACCCCACTAAAAATGCATCACTAGGCATGCCACTAAATGACCATGCCTTTGCAATTTAAAAGCGTAACTTTACTGTATTCTCTTGTTACACGTTCTTTCCCATTTCTGGCTCTACTCCACTTTCCTTCTTTCATTGTTTTGAGTGTGGTGTTTCTTCTTTTTCTTGTCTTGCCACCCTCCTCCTTTCATAGATTCCCCCCCCCATATTGTCTCCTGTTCTGTCTTCTTTCTCTCCCCATTTCTTCCTAAAGACTACTTTACCTCCTTTTCTTGTACTTCTTTTTAGTATCTTGTCTTATTCTCTTCTTCAGGGCCACTGCATGCCCACTTTCACACACACCTTCAAGCATATGTATTGATCCACTCCCAGGCAGTGGGGAAGTAACGGGCTCCATGAAGACATAAGGGTGATCAGTTGGGTAGAGCTCCTTGCATTACTGGGGACTGAGTTGTAGTTATTTTGTTGTGGACAATGCAGAGGATTAACTTTTTAGAATGTTCTAAATAAGCTGTCTAAATAACTGAAACAAGAGACCACATTTGTCATAGCACAGTAATTTAAACTTTAGATGTAGACAGGTTATTCCCACCTTAAGTTTTTGATATTAAATGGATGCTCAAGTGTGTGTGTAGATATAACATTTGACTCATAGTTTCACTTTCTGATCTGACAAGTATTATGGGAGTTTTTTTTGACAACTAATCATTGTTAGGCTTTAATGGTATTCTATAGTGTGATTTTTTTTTTTTTTTTTTTTAACCCACTTGGGTACCAGAAGGGATTTTGCTCAGGCCAAGACCAGGGCTCTCTGCTGTAAGGACAAAAACATCTGACGAAGTTACTCCTCCTGTCTGGCTTGATGCCAGGTATCAAAGATTTTTTTCAAATACTTCTAGTCTTTCCTCGGTAGGTGTTACAGGAAAGATCACCCTTAATATCTTAGCACATAGTTTTACCTTAAACACTTACCTAATATATAAATAAATGTGTAAATGACCCAAGACTGAGGACGAGAAGGCTTTATACATTTAATTTCAGCATAACATTATTTATGCATTTATCCTATTTTCATGTAACTCTTATTTTTATTCTTTTTTCAGGCAAAATCTTCTCTGTTCCTGCCAGAAATATATATAATTGTAAAAATTACCCAAATTATTCCATTCCAAATATGTTTTAACCATTGCTTCCACTGAAGGACAACTAAATGTGGCTCTTTCAGTTGTTTGTCCTGGTGTTTGGAGAAATCCCACGAGGCCTCTGTTGCAAGTCAAATCAGTACAGTAATCATCCCAAACTTCAACTAAAAATAAATTAATTTTACTGTCCATTTAAACTTTCATATGATCTGCTTTATAGTTAAACATTTCACTGAATAATTAGCATTAAAGTGATTGTCTTGTTCAATATTTTAAAAACATAATATGTAATACTTGTGACTGTTACATTAAGCACGCAAATGCACTCACAAAAACACACCTAATTAATCACTGTGGGTTTTGATAATATTGAAGAACTTAAATGTTCATCTCCTTAAAAGAAGTACTTTTCAAAAAAGATCTTAAATAGCAGGTCTTGTTCACAAAGTCCCTTGACTTTGCACTGTACCCTTTTCTGATTTATTGGCTTATTATAATCAATTTCTTCAGTTATCTCTGAAGATTGCCACTGTATGGCGTCATATGCCTTAGCTTCCCAATTCTGTGCTCTCTTTGCCACTGGACTTTTTTTCCCCCTCTTCCTCTCCTTACCCAAAATAAACACCAAATCATGTTTGGGAGAGCTTCTTGAGCTGTGACTTTGCTTTATTTCCATTGTTAGGCTTCTGGAACTAAGTTCTTAGCTGAATTCAGGATGTATTCGTGCAATTTAGCATTTCTTGCTATTGAATTTTTCTTTAAATTGATTAACAGATGTCAGTGTCACTTTAGTTCCCTTCCTCTTAAATGGAAAACATTTTGAAAAGATACAATCTTTTGTTGCTGATGGTCTATTTTTGAGCAACCAACAATTTTTTACTTCCACCCTGTTCCTTTACAAATGTGAAATAGCTTTTTTTTGCTATTTGTTGTGGGCTTGAAGATATTATGAAACAGTTTTCAAATTTCTCAGCACTCTCCCTTATGCTTGTGGTAGGGTGCTATATGCCATGCAGTGGTACTTCTCCAGCAGTACGGGCATGCTGCGGGAGAGGGACATGTTGCTTATTTCACAGTGAAAGTGTGAAGGTACTGCTGCATTTTTTAGAAACCACACTTCCCCTACCAGTAGTGAATGACACCCGCTTTGAATCCAAAAAATCACTTAAGTGTTATTGAAAAACATATCTGAGAAACAATGTGAAATACTAAATAAGTATAACTAAGAATTTCAGACTTTGCTTTCTAGTTTTGAGAGATTGTGGGTAATTAGTGAAAGGGCTTTCTTGTAGAGAAAAGATTAATTGCAGACTTTAGACTTAGGCTATTTTATTTTGCCTTGCTGACCGGTTTATTCCAGCCTCCTTACTTGCTTTTCAGGCGGTTACACTCTGCGTTTATGAGGAACTTCTTCAGTAAATTACAGATTAACTAGATAGACAAGGTGGGTGAAGTGTATATATCTCACCAACCAAAATTGGCCTTTTAAAATATAATACCTCACCCACCTTGTCTCTGTAATATCCTGGGACCAACACTGCTACAACTCTGCATGCAGCATAGATTAACTAGCTTGCATCTGTGAGAAAATGTACGTATTCTAGCCAGGCTGTCTGTTTTGTACCTGTGGTACCTCAGTTTTGGATTTGGAATCTTCAAGTGATATTTGTTTTTTGTAAAATTATAAGGTAAGGTAAGTAACTGAGTACAAGACAATATTTTTTATGCTAGCTAAATTTTAATGTTAACTTCTTTCACTAAATTTGAAGCCATAAGAATTGCTCAGTGTATGTATACATGTAATATAAGCTGCCTTCTGTTCTAATGATCTTAAACTCTCTTGTTCATTAGCTTTGAATGCTTGTTATCTTTAATTAAACTTTAACTTCACAAACACACAGGTTGATACTGCGTCACATATAGTAATCATCAGAATTTTGGTTAAAGAAAACTAACACTGTACGATTCTGGATGGCTATACCTCCATTTAAGACCACTTCGTAGTACAACAAATTGACTGTAGTGGAAATACTTGTAAACAATGACTGTGGGAACAAGTAAGAGTTTGTAGAAATGGACCCTCTCTTTGTGAGAGGGTGGGGGAGGGAGAAAATAATTCTACAGTCAAACAATATAGTTATTGACACTTTCCCTGTAAGTGTCTTAGTCCAATATATATCTTAATTTTCAGTTATGCTGTTCAGAAAATTATTATAGAGTTCCATTTTAGTGTCAAACTTACACTTGAATAAAATTTTTGGTTGGCGTTGTGTTCTTGAAAAGGGTATAATTCTGTTAAAAGCGAAAAAATGGCACTTACTCCAATTGTTTTTGGAGTATTTCAGATCAGTATACCTTTCCCTTCAAAATTTTAAATGCTTATTTTATTTTTAGTTGAGATTTCCCTTCATTCTATTATCTAGCCAACAAAATAATCTTTAGCCCATCAAATGATGATGGGTCCATGCTTTGTATGGAAAGAAACACAGTAAATCTACAATTGCATGGTTAAATAGTCATGTTCAGTTGTGATCCTGTTGACATTTTTAGTGATTAATAGTTGCATTAATTCACTTTGAACCAGTGAGTGGTATCTTTCAATCGCTCCTTCTGTTAATCTCACCACTTTCCTTAGTAGTCTTAAGGAAAGGTATATTGTCCCAAGGTATTATATGTTGAAATACTTAATTGAGCTTGGATCATGAATGTATTCCAACCCTAGAGAAGAAAAGTCCTAATATTTTTTTCAAGAATGAATTATTTTCATTTATATAATTTTGATAATTCTGTAAACCACCTCATATCTGAAAAATAAAGATGTAGCGATGTATTTTTGTAAATATGACCTTTCAAAATATGTGCATTTTTGTAGTGTAAATTGATACATTTTTGTGATGAGCCCCATGAATTAGGTTAACTACTTTGTTGTTTGAAACATGTTATTTTATGGGCAGTAACAATGATACATTTGTTTGACTTCCAGGCTGTTTTTGAGTACCTTCACTCTTGCAGTTTCAGCTGGTGCCGTCCTGCTTCTACCTTTTTCAATAATCAGCAATGAGATCCTGCTTTCTTTTCCACAAAACTACTATATTCAGTGGTTAAATGGCTCTCTAATTCATGGTTAGTACTTGCATAATGTAATTAAAAGCACATTTTAACAGTTAACACCACTTCCAGTGCATATTCTGGTTTTGAGTGATCCTTTTGTTTTTAATATACTTACTGGCATAATGGCTCAAAATTGTAAATGTTCTTGATTTATATGCCATTGATAAATTAGGCATTTGTAATCTAATGCACAGCAGCAAATTTACAAGTCATCACCATTCTGGCTTTTTGAGGGTTGTGTTGACTAAGGGAAGGCAACACAAAAGCTTCTGTTCTTACATACAGAAACATGTATAGCATAAGAACTGCTTTTACAGGAAGCTAAGTAACTTGGAAATGTGAAAGAAAAGTCTTATGACACCTGTAGGTATAATGTTCAGTGAGCTAAAGAGGGATATGGAGGAAAAAATAGTTTATTTATTCAAATGCGACTAGCGGTTCATACAAGAAACTTGTCATCTACAATGGATGGATTGAGAAGCAGTGACTTTTAGCTGCTTTTATTTTTAAAAGTAAATCATGTATATAAAATTATATATTTTGATCTTGCCACATTTATTATGGTATTTTGTTAAAGTGAAATTGTTCAATGTAGAGTCTTGTCTCCCTGTGTGTTGACAGTGTCTAGCACTTTGGGCGCTGCCAGAATTCAAATAATGGTAAGCGTGCTTAGTGCTCTACAGATATATAGTTGCTGTAGTTCCGAGCAGCTAACATACTGCAATGAGAAGATACATCTTGGTGAGGAATTGGTGATTGTCATTGGATTTAGATGTATTAATTGAGGAAAAAACATACCTTGTGATGTCAGGGGGCAACTTGCTAATAGAAAAGATAGCTATTTGCTGAGTTATCAAAAAGCAGAGGTACCTAGTTCTTCTTTAGACAGTGTGATGGACAATGATGAGGCTTAAAATTGATACGTGGTTCTGAAGTCCCAATATTTTAAAAGGTAAACTTTCTAGTTGGTTAAGCTTAGAGTGTAGTATCTCTTAAGTGAATTTGAGACAAGCTGTTGCTTCCTGGTATTGAGAATTTCCGTGTTTCACTAACCTGAGTCAGTTATGCCCCTTTATTTCTGCTCCATGCTGAAAGCCATTGTCTCTGAACATGTAACTCCAAGCTCTGCATCTAACTAGGGCAGTTTCATTTTCCATGCAATATCCCTATCCTTTGCATGTGACAGGCAGTGATGCAGTATGGTCAGGTAATGGGGCCTGATTAGGCTTGGAATTTAGAAATCCCAGAACCAAACCCCATGCATCCGGTACAGAGCAGTTCTTGCTTTGTGCTCCTCTCAGCTGCACCAAACCACCCAATCAGAGGCAATACATCTGGCTCACTGATATGATGCTTTTGGTTGCCAGGCATTGTGTAGGCTCTGTGACCTCCTCCAATGAGACTTGTTGTAGAAGATTAGATATGCTGGCCTGAAGTTTTACTTGCCTGTGTTTGCCTACATGTTGGTTCCATTTCCTCCTTATCATCATCTTGTGCCTTGCTTTTAACCCCCTTCTTAATTCTTGAGTCCTTCACCCACTTATTACTGTGTCTTTTCACCTCTACATCAGGAATGGTTTTCCTCTTCATCTGTGACAAGCATCCCACCCTTTCCTTCTTCAAATCCCTCTAAACTCTGTACTCTGACTTAGACTTTGTTCACCTGTCTCTCTGGCACCATCTAACCTTGCTTTTGTATGTTAATTGTAAGTTAACTTTAAAAAACAACCCCCCCCCCTCAAAAAAAAAAACAACAAAAAAAAACACACACAAACAGAACCTCTAAGATATTTGCAGCAAACTAAATATTCTGGCTCTTGGAACATATTAAGGCAGCATTCCCTTTCTCTTTGTTTCCTTCATTTCTTCTCCCACTTTTCCAAAATTAGTTGACATTCTTCTTATGTTACCTAGCTTTGATTAATTTTATGTCTCTACTGACATGCAATACTTTACAGATGTAAGACCATCATTCCTTGTCACCCTATTCTTAAAAAAAAAAAAATTGGATTTTAATTCCCAAGGGAAGCAGGAATATACCATGTAGAGCAGCTCTTTCGTTCTCTACCTACAGTCAGCCACATAGATTTTTAACCTTTTACTAAATACTAAATGAGAACAATAATCCTGTCAGAGAGCAAATACTCCCTCCCCTGGCTGAAGGGGAAATGTGAAAAATTTGAGCAAAAATCATTCTGCTGCTTTTGTATAGGAGAACAGGGGAAAAATATTTCCTATATAATTTAAAATTATAATTTAAAAATTCTTTTAGAAGAGCTGTAGCACCAAAATGGCTGAGGTTGAAAAATTGAAATTTGGCAAGGAATAGCTCTCCTTTAGGAGAAGTGCCTTTGAATTTTCCAGTAAATATTTTGTTTTGATTTGACTAAGGCCATGTCTACACTACCAGCTAAATCGGCACTGCTGCACTCGATGCAGTGGTGTCGATTTAGTGGGTCTGGTGAAGACACGTTAAATTGGTGGAAGAGTGCTCTCCCATCTATTTGTGTACTCCACCTCCCCGAGAAGCGTAAGGGACGTTGGCTGGAGAGTGTCTCCCATCAACACAGCACAGTGTAGACACCGCAGTAAGTGGATCTAGCTCCGTGTACTTCAGTTATGCTATTCATTTAATTGAAGTAGAATCATAGACTTTAAGATCAGAAGGGACCATTATGATTATCTAGTCTGACCTTCTGCACAATGCAGGTCATGGAATCTCACCCACCAACTCCTGTAACAAACCCCTAACTTATGTCTGAGCTACTGAAGTCCTCAAATCATGGTTTAAAGACTTCAAGGTGCAGAGAATCCTCCAGCAAGTGACCCGTGCCCCATGCTTCAGAGGAAGGCGAAAAACCCTCTGCCAGTCTGCCCTGGGGGAAAATTCCTTCCCGACCCCAAATATGGTGATCAGCTAAACCCTGAGCATGTGAGCAAGACTCACCAGCCAGACACCGAGGAAAGAATTCTCTGTAGTAACTCAGATCCCACCCCATCTAACTTTGGGCATATCTACTGCTAGTAGTCAAAGATCAATTAATTGCCAAAATTAGGCTATCCCATCATATCATCTCCTCCATAAACTTACCAAACTTACTCTTGAAGCCAGATATGTCGTTTGCCCCCACTGCTTCCCTTGGAAGGCTGTTCCAGAACTTCACTCCTCTGATGGTTAGAAACCTTCGTCTAATTTCAAGTCTAAACTTCCTGATGGCCAGTTTATATCCATTTGTTCTTGTGTCCACATTGGTACTGAGCTTAAATAATTCTTCTCCCTACATGGTATTTATCCCTCTGATATATTTATAGAGAGCAATCATATCTTCTCTCACCTTCTTTTAGTTAGGTTAAACAAGCCAAGCTCATTGAGTCTCCTTTCATACGACAGGTTTTTCATTCCTCGGATCATCCAAGTAGCCCTTCTCTGTACCTGTTCCAGGTTGAATTCATCCTTCTTAAACATGGGAGACCAGAACTGCACATAATATTCCAGATGAGGTCTCACCAGTGCCTTGTATAACGGTACTAATACCTCCTTATCTCTACTGGAAATACCTCGCCTGATGCATCCCAAGACCGAATTAGCTTAACTTAGATGGATTAACTGCAGTAGTGTAGACCAACCCTAAGCAAAGAGTTTTGAAAATCTCGCGCTTTGATTAAAATATACTAAATGGACTGTGTGTGTGTGTGTAGCAGGGATCGGCAACCTTTGGCATGCGGCCCGTCAGGGAAATCTGCTGGTGGGCCAGAACGGTTTGTCTACCTGCAGCGTCCGCAGGTTTGGCCAGTCGCAGCTCCCACTAGCCCACGCTGCTTCTCGCAGCCCCTGTTGGCCTGGAACGGTGAACTGCATCCAGTGGGAGCTGCGATTGGCCAAACCTGCGGATGCTGCAGGTAAACAAATGGTCCCAGCCTGCCAGTGGATTTCCCTGATGGTCCGCATGCCAAAGGTTGCTGATCCCTGGTGTATAGTTTAACAATGGTTGATGTGAAAGTAGTAAATGCACTCGTGTAGAACCTAAGTTAGCTGTATATTGCAAAATTTAGTGAAAGTACCTAGTGAGAGCCTGCTCCAAACACCTCTGGAGTCCATGGAAAAATTTAGTGTATTTCAGTGTATCTCTTATTTATTACACAGCTGGCAAAGTAAATGCTTCACAGTTTGTAATGCTTGCTGGAGATGGGCTCCCTCTTGCGGACTTTATTAGGTGTATGCGATCCCTGCTACACACACACACAGAGTCCATTTAGTATATTTTAATCAAAGCGCGAGATTTTCAAAACTCTTTGCTTAGGGTTGGTCTACACTACTGCAGTTAATCCATCTAAGTTAAGCTAATTCGGTCTTGGGATGCATCAGGCGAGGTATTTCCAGTAGAGATAAGGAGGTATTAGTACCTATATATGAGGTGTATGAAAGGTGTACACTTTATTAAGTGTATGTGTATTAGGTGTTCCTATGGTGTCTAGTCACATTATGACATTTCTTTTCTGTTTTCTTTCAAAAGTAATTAGGAAGTGTTATTTAAAAAAATAACTAAGAAAACATTAAGATTGCACTCTAAAGTGTGAAGTCAGGAAAGGGTTGCCTGAACATCCATAATTCTGTCCCCTTGTGTATGCAATGTAAGAATATTTAGATACAGGATCACTCGCTATTTCTCAAATACAGTATAATGTATCATTTTCCTGCAACCTGTCATACAATTTTTTTATATATTTTAAGTATTTTAATGAAACAAAGATATAGTTGACTAACTAGTTGAAATACATGTTTAACAGCTAAGTACTGTTCAGTTTTTGAAACCACAGCACTGAGTTCTTCAGGTGTTATATAGTGGATGAGGCAGTCAACTACAAAACAAATTGAGCTGCAGACTATACTTCCAGTAATTTTTCCACTATTACTCTTCTAATTGTTCTGTAGTATGTTATGTTGTTTGATTTATTATCCACTTCATACAAAAGTCTCTAGTGGACTTCAGCTGGTGCACACAATTAATATA